ATGGTGAGAGTTGAATATTTGGTGGACTGACCTTTTTTGGTGTAGTTGGCTTTACTATTTTCATCTTTTTCACCTGAGTACGTGACCAATTTTTGGAGCGCGATAAACCAGGTATTGACGGACGCTCAAAAGTGAAATCATTATCTACACGCTGCCGCTTTGGTGGCGAAACCAAAATCAGGCTCATATTTTTGTTGGAAGATGGTGCATTTTTGGATTTAGAAGAACAGCTCCTAACTGACGATTTATCGCTGGAAGTAGTCGCTAGAGATTCACTGCTTGGCGCATCGGAAAAAGATAGATCCTGTGAATTTCGCTTGTTTGATTTCGATGGCGAATACTCAGACAATTTAACTTTTGATGATTTGGGTGACACGCCACGTAAATCTCGCCATTTGCCAGACACAGGAACTGGGCTACTGCGACGCGATTTTACGCCAACTTCATTTAAATTAAAACGACTCGATTGCGCTAATATTTCGCTTTGATTAAAAGCGAGATCGGCTTGGGACATAATCCCTAAATCGACATATGCAGATTCGTTGCCTAGGGTATTGGGTTCACCAATTTTGGGTGGTGGGTAGATAGGGGTACTTGCTTCCGAGATTAAACCCCCTTGCGATGGCATGCGATTATTGAAAAAGTATCGATTCTGCTCGATGGACCGAATACATTCCATTTCATTCAGATTCGGCATAGAACCTTGACTAGCCGAGTAACGCTTGCTTGGTGAACGCAGTGAAAGATCTTTCATTGATTCGGAGTATTTTCGCAAAGGTGTGCCTACTAATTTAATGTCGCGTAACAGATCTTCTTCCCCACGCACGGGACTTGATTCGGCCACTATCTCACTTTTGTTTTTCACATAAGTTTTCTCAGGTTCTCCACTGCAAAGGCTAGTATCTTCCTCTTCTATCATAGCTAGTGGGCGCGACTTTGGAGTTGTGGTAATTGTAGTGGTCTTGTTAAGCGTAACACCATAACAAACGGGTGTGTCCAAGGAATCTGTTGATATATTAATATTTTCGTGTCTTACTTCAAAAGTTTTATTTGTAATAACAGCGCTGCCAGGCGATTTTTGATCCATATGAAACTCGACTGTCATATGAGTGGTATTAGTATTCTCAAGGAAATCAGCGGACTCATTGGCCGAAGTTAACCGCCGTGGTCGCATGGTTGATAAGTTAACCTTCACCGAATCCACGCTAACAGGTGTTGGCCAACTGGCTAAATTATCCAAATCGTGATGTCCAGCAATACCACTTTTCACATCACCACTGTTTATAGGTGTGAACTGAATCTTGTCGAACATTTTTATGACATTGCTAGGAGTCATAGGACTAACATTTTCTTTGTGTGTAAGCAGAACTGGTGATTTGTTTGAAGAAACTGTGGGCATAGCAGTATTCACAGCTTTGTTGCGCGCGTAAATATTTCGCTCAGAAAGCGGAGATGTGTGAGTAAAGTTTATAGTAATTTCATCGAACACTTCGCGTTTCTGTTCTTCACGTAAATTACATTTAGTATCTGCCCATACTGATCTCGGAGGAGGCGCGCGTACCTGTGTGGTTGATGGGGCAGAAGGCGGTTTACCTGCCCTTTGAGTAGTTGTTGTGGGTGGTTTGCGCGATTGTGTCTGTGCTGAGCTGGATTTGTGCGATTTTGTGGCACCTTTCGGGGACTTGAGACGTAGCGTTCTCACATAACTGCTGTTACTAGTCGAAATAGTTGGAAATTTTCGAACACTCTGTAAAATTGAGTGAAATTAGTTATTTTAGAGTTTAGTGTATGAAATACACACAGTTCATTAGCGCTATTTTAGTAAAAGCACATGGTCGGCTATACAACTGATGTACGATTTAAATTTGAAATTAAAATTTATACATTTTTTCTAGCCACTTTTATTTTGGCAAATATGTAGCTACAACGTATGAATTAATATACATATTAAACACAGAGAAAAGGCTGACCTGATAAACCTAATAATTTTTATTTGGAAAACTAGTAATAAATATTAAAAGATACGAAATTGATTCGTACTAAAATTATAAAAATTGAATAACTTCTAATTTTCAATAACCTTTTAACTTCAGAGAATACACATTTCAACTGCAATTTGCTAGAGTAATTAAATATGGTTGCTTGACTAACTACCCAATGGTGCATCGGTTAATGTTTGGTGCAATTTAAAAAACGGTTTTCATATGCAAGCATTATGCTTAATCAACCCCCTTTTTGTTACATATTCAACCACCGTATTTTCAGACGTCTTACATACATACATATGCATATGCATTCTGTACTAAGCGCTAGAATATCTAACTTCTTTTTGCATACCTTAATAGGATTGGTTACGCGGGTTTTCATTATCACCATAACATCCTTACGAAAATTTCTGTTATCCAAAAGTTGTAATGTTTCTTTACAAGTGAATTGTTCCAAAGGATTCCATACCATCTCCATCTCTACAGTTTTGGATCGGGGTATAACGATTTCGTCCCAACTAATTGAAACATTGTATTCCTCGCTTATTGGCTTTATAACACGGACCTATTGGTGAAAAAAGAGAATAATTAAACAAATGCTGATTGTATTACATTTTATTTTTTTGCAGAAGTAAACTTAAATTTTTAGCTCGTACAAGTGCTACAGAGGGGAAATCGATTTAATTTCATACTGGTTGCCACTCAACGCAAATATGTGGGAATTCGGTTAATATGCGGAAAAGCAGGTCAGTAAACTTGCTAGATATGCTTCTTACTAACACATTTTACAAACATGAATAACATGGAGTAACAATGAAATGATGTAGCTCGCATACCTCTATATTATCCTCAGAGGGGTTGACTATACGTAAAATACGTCTCGCCGTCTTTCCAACTGGCACATCTTCGAATGTTACAATGGATTTGGCGGAGAATGGCGCCATTACAACGTCGGTAGGCTCGCGAGATTCTATTCGCTTCTTGCATTTTGGGTGTGTCGGAGTAAGCACCACCTAGACCGAAGAAAGTATAAATTTAAAACAAATACACAAATATAGACAGACGCACTACAAACCTCGAAAGCGCTCATTTTATTCGCAGATTTTTGTTAAGTCTGATTTGATTTAAACTTATTTGTTATTAAAATACACTTCATACAACATTAATAAAGAAAAGACAGACATACAAATTATCACTTTAACATCGAAAATACACACAATATAACAAAATCGTTTAACAAATTAACTCAGATAAACGGGACAACTGAAAATCCAACCGCCAAATTGAAAAATAGTCAATTCAAGGCGAATTTATAAATGTATGAATTCGCCTTGAGCCAATGTGTCAATTTCTAAATCTCAAATAGGAAACGTTTGGAAAAGTTACACTACTGCAGTGGTCGTAAAACTATTATATAAGGAATTAAGGTCTGCACAAACGGCGCGGTGCGTATAACCAGGGACTCATGGCTACTCTAGAACGTTTTGAAGTTTATGGCTCATTGGGCCTCCGCACACTGGACTGCACAGTCCGCCTAAAACCGGTTTTGTGTGAACAAGAGGGGG